TGACTTCTTCCCTCAACCCACGTCATCCAAAGTCGATCGCCAACACCCGCCGAGATGAAGCTGAACATCTCCTACCCTGCCAATGGCAGCCAGAAGTTGATCGAGATCGAAGATGAGCGCAAGCTCCGCGACTTCATGGAGAAGCGAGTACGTGACCGGTCCCGCCCATCCTCTTTCCGATGCCAGACAGCAGCGAGAAATTCCACGATGCCGAGAAAAATACGGTCCCCCGCGCAAGCCTCGAGCCGCCCGCCAGCGGGGCTTGCACAACCATCTCGAAGTCGGGAATGCTGCGCTACGTTGTCGATATGGATCTGAACTGGATTGCTAACGTGGTGGTGCTCCCAGATGGGCCAGGAAGTCCCCGGTGACAACCTCGGCGATGAGTTCAAGGGCTACATCTTCCGCATCACCGGTGGAAACGACAAGCAGGGTTTTCCCATGAAGCAGGGTGTCCTGCACCCTACCCGTGTCCGACTCCTCCTCTCCGAAGGCCACTCGTGCTACCGACCCCGCCGCACCGGCGAGCGCAAGAGGAAGTCCGTCCGTGGCTGCATCGTCGGCATGGACCTGGCTGTCCTCGCTCTCTCCATTGTCAAGCAGGGCGACGACGAGCTCCCCGGCCTGACCGACGTCGTCCACCCCAAGCGCCTCGGTCCCAAGCGTGCCACCAAGATCCGCCGCTTCTTCGGCCTCAGCAAGGATGACGATGTAAGTAGAACTACAACACTCGTCATCACCTACTCGGTCGTTGCTTCTGCGGGATGAGAGAGAAGAATCCTTAGCAGTGTAACCACCGATGTAGAGTCTGAGAGGAAAAACATCTGAAACATGGGAGCACTGGATGGCTAATATGTGGGGTTCCCCTCTACCGAATAGGTCCGAAAGTACGTTATCCGACGTGAGGTCCAGCCCAAGGGCGAGGGCAAGAAGCCTTACACAAAGGCTCCCCGTATCCAGAGGCTGGTCACTCCCCAGCGTCTCCAGCACAAGCGCCACCGCGTTGCGCTCAAGCGCCGCCAGGCCGAGAAGGTCAAGGATGAGGCCGTACGTTTTTCACTCCACGAATTAACCCTATTCTACAGCTATCCAATTAACAAATCCGTCTCAGAACGAGTACGCTCAGCTCCTCGCTAAGCGTGTCGCCGAGGCCCGTTCCTCCAAGGCTGATGCCCGCAAGAGAAGGGCAAGCTCCATGCGCAAGTAGATGCTTCCAGGCGTTCGGTCGGTGTCTTCTGGTTGTTGCATTTCGGCATGATAATCATGGCTATGGCAGGCATTGCGGGATGGTTATGAGCGGCTTTAGATAGGCCAATGGCTCTAGTGTATTCCCCGGAGGCCACCAAAAAATGAAACGAGATTAAGATTCCCAACAAAACACTGCCACTTGTTCAGTCATCTGCATATATATTGTGTATTGTGTGATGCGTTCATTATTTCACCATTATTCGGTTTTTCCCCGAGAATTTTGACCGGTCGAACGCCATCATGATTTTGTCCACTAAATCAAATCGCCAGCCTATGCAAATGACGCTGATGCAATATAACCCCAGCATTGAACCACCCATAGATACAGATCTCCATGCAAGACAATTTATGACATCCTCTAAACCTGGATGTTTGGGGGGTGTTTTATATGCAATTACGCCGTTGTGACATCTGGCGTAGAGTATCCTTTTACCATTAACGCCAAATAGAACCTAGGGAATGCGGCCAAATGCGATCTCTACCACAAACATCTCTCATGCACATCAATTTTTCACGTTCCCTTCATCCCTAACCCAACCACTCAAATAGCACCCATCTCCATTAGGCGGGAGCGTGGTTAAACAAGAAGCTGCAACCTCGTTAGCTGGATGTCAGTAAGTCAGGGGTAGGATATTGCGTACCTGACACTCTCTCCGTTGTGAGTTCGTCGAATAGCCTCGGCCACCGTGGGGCTCACGTCGATGACACGCAGCTTGCTGCAGCGTTCTACCTTATCCCCGAGGGGCACGGTGTTGGTGACGACGATCTGGCTCAGGCAGCTCTCGTTGAGGATGTTGATGGCATCGCCGCTCAGGATCCCGTGGGTGACGATGGCGATGACCTCACGGGCGCCGTGGTCCTTCACCGTCTTGGCAGCCTTGGCGAGGGTTCCACAGGTGTCTGCCATGTCGTCGACGAGGATCGCAACCTTGTCCACAACGTCTCCGACGAGCACCATGCGTCCGACAACGTTGGGTCGGGGGCGCTCTTTGTGGATGAGGGCGAAGCCTCGGTCTAAGCGATCGGCGATAGCAGTAGCTCTATAAACAATGGTGTATTAGCTTTACAGCCTACGTATTTGTCGCATCGCTTGTGTGTAAGAATTTACTCACCGTTTGGCACCACCGGCATCCGGACTGACGATGACGACATCCTCGGTACCCCGATTCTCGCGAATCCAGCGCAGCACACTTGGCTCCGCGTAGAGATTATCCACGGGAACATTGAAGAAGCCCTGGATCTGAGACGCATGCAGGTCCATGGTGATGACGTGGTTGCAGCCGGCGGTCTGCAGCATGTTTGCGATGAGCTTGGCGGAGATGGGCGCACGGCTCTTGTCCTTCTTGTCCTGGCGTGCGTACGGGAAGTTGGGGATGACGGCGGTAATTCGTCGTGCAGAGGCGGTTCGGCATGCATGGATCATAATAAGAAGCTCCATCAAGCCATCGTTGATATCGCCTGGAGCAGTGGATTGGAGAATGAAGACTGAACGGCATATTCGGTTAGAGTGGGTGGTTCTATCTGGAGTGTGCCCGATTTGGCGGTTGGGGGAAATGCTGTACCATCTTCGTCACGAACCGATTCACCTATTGTGACACTCGTTTCTTGATTGGAGTAGTTGAGACTGAGGGTCTTCGCGATGTCAATGCCCAGCCTATTCACAGGAGTCCAGTTAGCGTGTTTGATCTCTTTCGACTTGTGGAAGGTTGCGCATGTCAAAGTTGGGCAAAAAGCCATCGATAGCCGCGCATGGCGTCACACGAAGTAAGAGGCCCGGATTTCGCCCAAATCGGTGCAGCATGGCAGAAGAATAAAATACTGTATATGATTTGATTGCTTATCTACTTACCGGTCAGCGACCAGCTTAGCGAGTACCGGGTGACTGTTTCCCGAGAGCAGCTTGATCTCGTTCGCCATGTCGCCCATTGTGGCCAAAAGAAGGAGGGGAGCAGCGAGAGACAATGGGTATCAATGCTGTTTTATAAGGCCAATTGCAGTTGGCGCGGGCACGGGCACGAGCGCAGACCTCAGCAGAAGCAAAACGGACTGCTGCTGGAACCTCGTTGGTCAGAGGAAGAGGGAGCGAGCGAGCGAGCGAAAAATTGAGCTTGTCTCACAGCAAGACACAGTCCAATCGGCTCGAATCGGTGGTGGATCGTGGGGTTGTCTTGGGCGGTGCTGCGACGCTATGGTTGGACGCTAACGATTGAGGGCTCAGGCACTGGTTGCGGCAGTTGCTGAAGTTGTTTGGTGCAGCACAGCGGATGAGGCAAAGCGAAGGAAGTTTTGACTGCAAGGTTGGGACACGGCCATAATCACTCATATCAACGAAATTGGGCAATGAACTTGTCATTCAATACTTGTAAGAACTACCTAGACTATACTACTAGATACCTGCTATACCGTACAGCAGAGGCAGGCTTGACTCTGCATGTGGTATAGTGGGGAACTTTATAAGTACTTAGGCCGGTGCATGTGAAAACCTTGGTGGTTCATTGCAGCCAAGTACATATAGAGTCACATTCGGCTACTGTACCTAGGTAGACAGCCGCATGGAACCACAGTAGATACCTGAAGTACTTCTACTATGTACTCTAATCATCTCTTCACATCCATACGTATACGTCTTCCGTTAACTTGGACAACAAATATAGTAGTCTTACCATTAGTCAGTAGCCAGAATTTTATGTCCTCACAGTCCTTTATATTACAGAATGTTTGCCTAGATATTCACATCACCTTGAGTTAAGAAAAGCGTTATTGTAACGAGCAATTTGTAACAAATTAATCTTGGTAGGCTACCTACATAGGTATTACTGTATATATTACGTGCGATCTCGAGACACATAGGCATGGCCACCGCCATTTACAACATGCTAATAAAAACCCTCTTTGTGCTGCTACCGGTAACTGTGTTAGTTCAAAAAAGGTGTTTGTGCATTCAAGGTTTAAATCATATCTCAGGTCCGTGGCTAGCAGCAAACTCCATTGGTACCACCGTCATATCAAGCCTTGTTACCTATCTCATATCCTTTGTTTCACCATACATCTAAACGATTGCAAATTCCATCCATGGTGTAGGTGACACGGCTGTTGTGTGTCCGTTCGATATTTCCCACGCCTGCTGTAGGCCACGTTGGAATATTACAACTTTGCAACGTCACACTACACTTGGATGCAATAGAGTACCTAGGTAGTCCACCTTATCAACACAGACATTCCCAAGGCAAAATCTTATCTTATGAGACTGTAAGCCTAACCGGGTTCTTGTTCGGATACTGCTACCTAACTGTTATAGGATGCTTAGAATCGCTAGATTATCTTCTACAAGCTGCTTTTGAAACCATTTTTAGATACATAGATAGTTGCTTATCAATGTAAGATAATGTTTTATACGTCGGAGCTTGGGAGGTTTAGCATTAAGCCCTTGCCTAGGCAATCTTAAGTGTTGCCCAATTGGGATATCTTTTGTCTTCTAGTGTTGGGAATGGACCTCGAGTGTTCTAGCCTCGCCATTACTTATATCATCCTATGGCCGGCCGTCTAGCCTTTCTGGCTACCATGCTCCCATTTAAGGTTGACCATCTATATATACTATGTGAAATAGGGGTCGTGAGGAATAGTTCTAAAAGGACATCTTAAGATCTCCCCGAGAATCGAACACAGATTGGCGGAATCAGAATCCGCTGTGATACCTATTTACATTAGGAAGTTGGCAAAGACAAAAAGAAGCCGAGGAATGGCGAGAAGACGGGTTTGGCCAGGGATTGAACCCGGGACCTCTCGCAAGCAGTGCTGTAGGGTGAGCCCTAAGCGAGAATCATACCACTAAACCACCAAACCATTAAACCGTGGAGCCGGATCCGTTCTTCGAGAGCGTGACTCTTGATCGTGAGATGTGTGATTCTAAACGATCTGGATGGGGATCGATGGGGATCTGTAGTAGCGGTGAGCAGCTTAGTACTGTAGAAGAGGATGCCAGGGGTTGCATTCTGTTGGCTGGGTCCATGATTTCCGGCCTCGCTGCCGGTACTCCGGACCCGTTCCAGAAGTAGCTGCAGCAGCGTCGGCCCCAGAGACAGCATCTCGGATGGAGCCATCAGTAGCCACGTGCTATTTTACGGATAGAACATATCGGCCTAGCGCAGCTTAGAGACATGTTTAAGGTTCAATGCTGTAATTTTTTTTGGCAAATCTGCAGCAAGGTTGCATTGCAGCTCCTTGTGGCATGAGAGCAACTTTCTCAGCCAATAGACAATCCATTGGTTTCTTAGAGGTAGTGGGATTGGCCATGCAGGACACTCTACTAGTAGTATTCGAAATGCTTCCTCCAGCATGTAACACGACTTGGCAATTAAACCAAAGTTGTCGGCGTAGGTATTTTGCTGTCCAATAGAAATTTAGTATCTGTGCCCTGGATCTCGAATGACGCACAGACCACAGCTTAAATGGGACCACCCGGCTAAACCACCTCCGCGCTTCCCCAAGAACATTACCTAATCCGCCGACTAATCATCTTGAACTTCTATCCTTCCATCATCAACCACACTCACTTCTTACAACTCGTCTTCACCCAGGCGTCACCATACAATTCAACTTCAATTAAAGTCTTACGATTGGCGATATATAAGCAAGATCAAATACCACTAGAACAACGACGACCTCCCTCGAGCCCTTCCGCTTCTGCTCAGCGACCCAAGCCTCTCTACGTTCACTCAAGCACATCGCGACTTGCGCCTCGAGAATCCGCACCTTCTCGACAAGACTGCCACCCAACGCTCAATCCACATTATCCACGAATACAACTCGCAGCCATCTGCAGCTGATCACATTACTGCGCCGCATCGTTCCCAGTATCACACCTACACGCGCACCTCCCATCACCGCTATGGCGAGCGCACCGACCGGGAACGAGCAAGTCCCATCGGGCACCGCGCCTCAGAGCGAAGGGGAGCATCAGCCGATTCCGGTAGAAGCCAAGCTGGCCAATAAGAAGGACACATCTTTGAAGGAGTTCCTGTCTAAGATGGATGACTACGCGCCCATTGTAAGCTACCTCGCGCTTTCCTCCCTTCCTCAGCTTACTCAACCGTCTCAGCCGCGGCGCTTGTTCTTGATGGATATGAACTAACTGCGTGTCTGCCACCAGATCCCAGATGCCGTCACAAACTACTACATGACAAAGGCCGGCCTCCCCCCACCACCACACACAGACCCCCGCCTCGCACGCCTGATCGCGCTCGCCGTACAGAAATTCGTTGCGGACGTTGCGGCCGACGCCTACCAATACAGTCGGATCCGGGCTTCGAACACGAGCGCAAACAACCCGATGGGAAATCTAGGCGCTGCTGCCGGTATCGCTGTGCCTGGACAGGCGCCCGCCGGCGGTAAAGACCAGGGACGAGGTGCGCCGTTAGGCATCCAGAGAGCCGGCTACGGTGGCGGTGGACAGGGTGGCAGCCAGAACCGCACCGTCCTCACCATGGAGGACCTCGGAATGGCCGTTGGCGAGTACGGTGTCAATGTGAAGCGTAGCGAATTCTACCGATAGAGGGATTACGACTGGAGTACTACCACACCCTGGGTTCAGTCACCTCATAGAACTACGATGTTACAGACGGGGGGTTATGAGACAATTATTGCACGGGCATACTCAGACCGCGGTCTAGAAAGGCGCATGGCGTTCAGGGATTATACAAGGCGTCACGGCTCACAGGTGACCAGCATGGTCGAGACCTACCATGGAAGGCAGGGTCGGCCCAACTTATCAATGTTTTTATGTATACAAAAAGCAGTTTGTTACTTTTTTTCCTTAGTCTGAACGAAGAGAGTCTACGGTCACGAAATGATCATGTTCCCATTGTTTCTCTGGTCGTTTTACATTTTGGGTTTCGTGTAGTATACAATTGGACAAACTATTACACGCAGGTCAACCGACATGCCGTGTCATCGCTTCTAGTAGTGCCTATAAAACGCCGTTAGGGGTAGGCTTTACAGCTGTCATCCGCTTCTCATTCCCTGCCTCGTCTATCCCCAACCATAGAATCGTAATCCTGTGCGGGCTATCCCGCCTACTTCCCTCGAGACCAGACGAAGGGCTTTCTCGTCCTACGGTTGAAGACAACAGACTTCTGGTTAGCTTAGTCCACTCAACCAACTTCACATCCGTCGCATTACTCGTGCGTTGAGGTTGGGAATTTGGGGAGGGTTGGGGAGCTGTCTATACGCACGGAGAGAACTCGCCCAGCTTGTGCCCGACCATGTCCTCGGTGATGATCACGTCGTTGTAGATCTTGCCGTTGTAGACCTGGAACTTGAGGCCGACGAAGTTGGGCAGGATGGTGGCGGCGCGCGCCTGTGTCCGGATCGGCTTTATCTTCTCGCCCGGCTTGGGACGTGTGATGGGAAGACTACAATGTTATAGACAGACGGAATTTTAGAAAATCTTGGCTTTGGAAACAAACTTCTGCACCGAGGGGTAGTAAGGTTTATATCGGGAAGAGGAGCTTTTTCGAGGAAGGGTCGGACGGTAGGTAGGCTGGGCTGGGCTAGGCTGGGCTGCTCTCAGAGGTTCGGGGGGGGGAAAGGAAGGGGATTTGATTGATTTGCCTTACGGGACGATATGCGGACCTACATACATAAGCAGTGAGCATGGTTAGCGACCGCATGTGAATGATTTCATGCAATGGGCATCAATCGGAAAAAACTCACCTTTCCACACGGATCGGCCCTTCAGCAGACACCGCGTGGGCTGCATCTCGTTTGGAATGTGCGACGACGGAGGGTGTCGGAGACGGGTATGTTCGATGCTTCCTTCTTCGCGGTTGGTAGCTTTCTCTAACTACCTAGTAATGGAGTCGCATTTCGATGTTCCCGTCGCACCTCCAGGGCTCCTGATTTCCACGTTATCGCGATAAATGCATTTTTATCGATCCTTGCATTATCAGCTCTGATCGACGGACCGACAGAAAAGTCTCTCGGCCCGTATTTACCTGTGCACCATCGAATCAAGCCTAGGATGGAACTCCACAACGGGTAGGGCCACCCTATTTGCCTGTCTCAGACGCTTCCCAAAGAAATCGCCCTTACACTGGACTACACAGTACATGAGAACAAGGCGAGGATCACATCTGTTGGCTTGCACCAACTACTCTGTTGTGCTACCATGTCCGGAGCACCAACCCCCGCGCCCCCTCGAAGGAGCAATATGCTGCTTCAGGACATTGGTATTGAACGCTCGCTGTTGACTGGATTACTTGGATGCATACTTACCTAGTTCCTTTCTTTTCCCGTTCTGGAACTTGTGTGAACGTTTCGGGCATGAGATTCGTCGTGGTGACCTCGTAATGATAAACGCCCTGTTGGCCCAGCGTGTGAGGGGCAAAGGTCTCCTAAGTACTGTCTAATAGGTAGGCATAAGTACCCAGTTCATGACGAAAACAATCTTCGGCGTCCAGGACATTCGATGTCGTAGCATCGTAGGATGCAAACATGGGATCTGTCCCGCGACCTCCCCGGAGCAGCAGCACCCGCCTTGGAACTCGATTGGTGGACGTCGTCGCAGTCCTCCACATGCAAATGCCAGACGTTCCCGAACTATCGTGAGGACAGTAGGGGGAGTTCCTGCAATGAGACTCGTCGATGGTGCTGGATACTATGGACTTCCCTGCCCTTATGTGAGGCGGAGCTATGACCTCCGCCTCCATCGGACCTGTTTTCTGAGTCGCCGACTTCTCAGGACATTTAAACTCGGCTGCAGTCCGTAGAGCATTTGGCGTGATGCCTCGCTCGTGTCGTGCAGTGAAGTGACATATTGCAGTCGCCCAACGCTGAGATAACATGAAGTTCGTCGAGGTCCTCGTTACGGCGGCTACGATTGCCGGTGCAGTCGCCGCACCCGCAACAAAGAAACGAGCAAGCAAGTTCCAGTTCGTCGGTGTCAATGAGTCTGGTGCTGAGTTCGGGAACACGGCCCTGCCTGGACAGCTAGGAAAGGACTATACATGGCCCGACCAAAATGCCATCAACGTGTGTTTTTGGTTTACTAGTTCTCATCATCGGAGGTGGTGCCGCTGACTTGATCCGTCTAGACGATGATTGGCAAGGGGATGAATTCTTTCAGGGTTCCTATTATGATGTAAGTAACCCTGATGCGAAGTCTTAACACCATATATAGTGCTAAGTTGAGAACAGGGAGCGCTTCATCCCGAACCAAATGACGGGGACTGTGAACGAGACGTATGCCAGTGGCCTTGACCAGATTATCAACTATATCACCGGAAAGTCAGTCTTTATAATTAACACTGTCACGGCTTCAAGACGAGACGCCAGATTGAGACTAACTTGTCTCTATAGGGGCGCATACGCTATCATTGACCCCCATAACTTCGGGCGATACTACAACAACATCATCACGGACGTGAACGGCTTCGGGGCATGGTGGTCAACAATGGCGAAGCGGTACGCGTCGAACGACAAAGTCATCGTAAGTGATTACCGGAGCCACCTTCCCCTCCTGGCCGCTTTCAGAAGATGAAGCTTTCTTTTCGGGCCAAGACCATGTCCAGAAGCCCCCAAACCCCCCAAAAACTACACTCCAAATAGCAACAACTGATTTCAAGTAGTGGGATACGAACAACGAGTTTCACGACGAGGATAACGCCCTCGTCGCGAGCCTGAACCAAAAGGCTATCGATGCCATCCGGGCTGCCGGCGCTACCTCGCAGTATATATTCGTCGAGGGAAATTCATGGACGGGTGCTTGGCATTGGGTAAGGGGCAATCTTATAACTTCCTCGACCCGATGAAACCATAGACCATGGGTCCAGGATCTATTCACCAGT